ATCAAATTGTTTTCTTTTATATTCTATAGATGAAACGATCTGTATGTTATTGCATTCATTTATACATATATGTACTATACTTTGAAGCTTTATAGTAGAAACTATATGCTTTTAATGCATTGTAAATATCAACGCATTAAAAGCATATAATTTCTACTATAAAGCTTCAAAGTATAGTACATATATGAATAAATGGATGCAATAACATACAGATCGTTTCATCCATAAGATATAAAAGAAAACAATTTGATGGATAAAATGTTTTCATATATTGTCGCAAACATCATAATACCAAATCGAACACGATGTTTTATAATTTGTCTCGGCTGTAAAAGAAGCAGTGCGATATTGAAACTTCAAACAAGGACCTATGCTTTAAACCACGATGCTTTGCTTTCAACTTTCGGTCTCAATTGTATTGTGTGAAGCTGTAATAATTATTACTTTGTGTCTGGGTCTGGGCGTCAGTCAGCAGGCCTGGTGGCTCCTGTAAAGACGTGTTTTTGCTGCCCGGTGACTACTGTAAAGACGTGTGTCTGCTGTCCGGAGCGGCGACAGCTGGCACGATGTCGGGACAGCCGCCGCCCCCAACTACCAGTCGCCGTGGCGGAGGTATTTCTCTCCTGTGTTCCTCGCCTGTTTGTATATAATACTGCACGATATTAGTAATAGCGATAAATACAGTGTAAGTCTGGTAAAGGTTGCTTTTAGCAACCACTACCAGTATCAGACTTACCCCATATACTATCTCTATTGTGTATAGGTAGCAATATCCAGACGTACGTTGGACATTATCACTTGATAGTTAGAATAACACTGGGGTTTAGATATGTGGGGCTCTCTGCACAAATAGCGCTGAATACTTGCATGAAATATATACTTGCGACGTTGATCACCTAATGCAACCATTGCAAGATTTACCTACCATTTATCATAATTGATCAATCCCACTTTACATGCAGTGATATATGCCAACTGTATTCATGTCAATAACATTTGTTTTAGTTTTGGATGGCCAAGCTAGAATATGAATATAGTGACCAGAGTGTAGTGCAAAACATACGGCCAACAACCATCTTTTTGAATGGCTTACCAGACTAATTAATTTGTACATTTTGGTCCATGTATATGTAGACCTCGGCACTTTTTTATGTACTCTGTTACTATTCTAAGCTGCAAATGCCCAAATATGATCGAAAATGATGTATATTTTTCGATGCTTTACTATAAAAGAACATTCAAAATGATTTACTATAAAAGAACATTCAAAACAAAGTCCTGCACAACACCATCTCTGCCCCCCACACCTCGTGTCTTGTCCCGGCAGCTCGATGCTCCTGCCGCACTAATCACGCTTTAAAGCTGCAGACCATCGCGAGTAAGAACAACTATTACAGGCTCTCGTTCTTCCCTCGCACCATCAAGGAGTGGAATGAACTTGAGCCCAGTGTGGCGGAGGCGAAGTCCATCTCCCAGTTTAAAGCAGAGCTGGGACGGGCTTCGCTGCATTGAGCTGCCTCCCTGTCCTTGTACATATGTAATATGTGTAATACTATATAGCACTATTGATTTGACTTGTTCCGTCCTTGCACTTGTCTACGTCCACCCCTACCCTACCCTTTGTTTGCACACAGTCACTAATCTGCGCAGCTGCTAATAATCCTCTTGTTAGAGCGGTGAGCAGTATCGAAGATGATGATAATGATGATGATGAAAAAAAGAAAATTAAAAAAAATCAGTTCCTACTCTGTAAATATACTTTGATTTATGCATGTCAATTTTTTTTTAAAAATCAGTTCCTACACTGTAAATATACTTTGATTTATGCATGTCAAAAAATTTTTAAAAATCAGTTCCTACACTGTAAATATACTTTGATTTATGCATGTCAATTGATTGATTGATTGATTGATTGATTGATTGATTGATCGATCGATCGTTTTGCTTCTTTTACAGCCGAGACAAATTATAAGAACTCGTGTTCGATTTGGTATTATGATGTTTGCGACAGTTTCTGAAAACATTTTATCAATCAAATTGTTTTCTTTTATATTCTATGGATGAAACGATCTGTATGTTATTGCATTCATTTATACATATATGTACTATACTTTGAAGCTTTATAGTAGAAATTACATGCTTTCAATGCATTGATATTTACAATGCATTAAAAGCATATAGTTTCTACTATAAAACATACAGATCGTTTCATCTATAGAATTCTAGAATATAAAAGAAAGCAATTTGATTGATAAAATGTTTTCAGAAATTGTCGCAAACATGTAAACGTAAACTTTTTCTTCAGGTACCTCGGCTACCCGCGTATACGTCTCACAGACCGACTCGAGCAGCACTGATGCAGAAATCATCAACCCTTTGTACGGCTCCAGGGCAGGTAAAACAGCACTCTATCTCAGTCCCACTTCCAAACTAGTGCCCCACCGGGTAGTTTACGGGTTGTTTTGGACATTCTGGGGAAGACCCGTTTGCCTCCCAGTGTTTGCCGGGATATCTAATCGAAGGGGTGGGGCTAGTTGATTCCTGCCCAAATCAGTCTGGGTCCCTTTGAAAATAATCGTCAGATCCAAAACATAAAATAATTATCAAACATTAAGAGTCTGTTTTGCTGTGTTGCTTTGTAGATCTATGTAGTAGTAGGCATTTCATCGATCTATGTGGTAGCATTATTAAATACATATTGATGCTTACTCTTTTCTTTCGTGAGTCACCCCAATGATTGAAATATTTAAAAAACGCTGTAATGATAAGGCGGTCTGATCTTTGTAATTCAGGCCTAAACCAGTGTAGGTCCCGATGAAAATAATCGTCAGATCCAAAACAATGACTAATCATAAAAACATTAAGCGTCTTTTTTGCTGCATTACTTTGTAGATCTGTGTGGTAGTATGATTTAATGATCGTTTCACTTACTGTTTTTTTCGTGATTTACTCAAATGATTAAAATGTTTTCAGAAACGATACAAAAATTCAGTATATGTATATGTTATAAGTATAATATATTATGTTTTATCCTAACAGTATGGTCTATGAAGTAAGATGTAAAAATGTCTATAGATATCTTGCAAAAGACCCATGTTATTTTTAAAAATCCATATCAAAAACACAGTTAAGTCTTTGATGGGATAATTAATCTGTGCTAGACAAATACCTTTTGCAGAACCAACAAAGTAAGCCCAATAGATGCAAAAAATGCAAAATAAAAGAATTGCAAGCTTTAAAATCTTAACTTTCTTTAAAATCACGTCTCTCTAAACGTCACCAATGTGGAAAGATTATACTACTGATTTTGCCTGGTTTTAATAAATAGGATCCTACGATGCATCCACTGACTACAAGCCTATTAAAGGAAAAAACCTGTGTAAGACGTTTTGGCAAGTCTCAAGCGCCATGCTTGTTCTGGTCCTCCTCGTGCTTGTGCCGTATTTTGCAGGTCAGTTTTTTCATCAAGAGCGTTATGTTTCCTGTAAGCTTTTAAGTTTGTGCATCTGTATATGTATGGCTGTGTTCTAACTGAGGAGGCTTTTGATGGACTAAGATGAAATTTGGTATTCAGATAGGCTTGGTGTCAACAATGCAAATGACAGATTTGATCATGGGCCTCCTAGCTTATTTCTATAGAACTACAATGCAACTTCCGGTTCTGATCATAAATGGTGAGTTTGAGTTACTAGCATCTTATTGTATTGGAAATGTGTAGTGTTGGCTTGGGCCTTCTAACTGTTTTCCTTGGAACTGCAGCCTTCTTTCAATTGTCCAACTCATAGTAATCATAACTATTTTGGTTGTATAATTTTTATTTGAATGTTTTGGTACTATTTGTTATATTATAAGTATACATATGTATTTTTTAAACCACCTCGTTTGAACTAAAACCAAAGTAAGGTTACATTCAGTAAACACATTAAAGAATATTCACAATTTTCCAAATTTTCCAAGGGTAGGTTCCCACCACAACCCTTTTTTGTCTCTTTTACAGTTCACGTTGCTACTCTTTTTAGAGAGTTGGGCGACCTTCAGGCACGTGTGATCCAGCTGGAAGGCAAGTAGCATGTTTTTTTTAATATCATGGAATACATGTTTAAAATCCATTTCATACAATGTGTTTCTGCCTTCTGCAGACAAATCAAAACTATAACATCACATCTATTTCACTATGTATTTTCCAGTAAATTGCAAGACCAAGCCCGATCCTCCAAAACAGCAGGGAGCCCTGCGTGAGTGTGTGGGGTCTCCTGGGCCTCAAGGGGAGCGGGGCCCCTCGGGGCCGGCTGGCCAGCCGGGAAAGATCGGTCCGCCTGGACCAGTTGTACCTGGAGAGCCAAAGGGGCTTGTTGGACCACCTGGTCCTCCAGGGCCAACTGGACCTACAGGGAACAGGGGGCCGGCTGGCCGCCCTGGAAAGGATGGGTCTCCTTGTCCAGTTGTACCTGGAGTGCCGAAAGTACTTGGGCCACCCGGTCCTCCAGGGCCAACTGGACCTGCAGGAGGAATGGGGCCCATTGGGCCGGCCGGCCGCCCGGGAAGGGACGGATCCCCTGGACCAGTTGGACCTCGAGGTTTGATGGGGCCTATTGGGCCACCTGGTCCGACAGGTATGTCCGGCCCTATCGGACCTCCAGGCCTTCCTGGGTCTCCAGGAGAAAAGGGATCCATGGGGCCGGCTGGCCCGATGGTTTGCCGGAACCGCCTGGGTCCAGTTGGTCCACCGGGGCCGCCATCTTTTCCAGGCCGCCCACGTCCTGCTGCTCGGCCGGCAGGTCCGCAGGCTCTCAAGCAGTGGAAGCCGAAAACCGGTAGGCTTCTTCATTTTCATATGCAAACCGTGAAGTTTAACATGAAAATAAGTTCATCTTTGATTTCTTTTCATGTGTAGTTATAGCATTCAAATAATGTGGTCTGCCCAAAACCGGACAGTGAATTGTAGTAGCATTTTGTCCATACTGAGACATAATTCGTGATGTTTGGTTTTTCAGTTTGTCCCAACGGTTACATGAAGCTGCGTGAAACCTGCTACAAGATCTTCTACAACATGAAGACCTTCTACCAGGCAGGCGCAGCCTGCCGCGGGAGTGCGCAGGGCGGCACCCTCGCCATGCCCCGCGACAGTGAGACCAACGACTTCCTCCGCGCAAAGCTGAACGGGGTCTACAGGTACTTCTGGTTTGGCCTGACCTACCTCCACAGGGAAGGAAGGTCGATTTGGATCGACGGCACCCCTCTTTCACCGGACAAGTTCAACGCCTATGATCTTGGAAAGCCAGACAACCAGGGGGATTGTGTTGCCTATTGCACCAGCACTAAGATTCCAATGTGGGGTAACGGGCCGTGTCTGTGGAGAGCTCCCTACATCTGCCAAATCATTCCAGGTACTTTATCCCGCATGCTCTTTATTGCTGATGATTTCTTTTTCTTGACATCAAATTTCGGAATACATAACGCTGTGCTTTCAAACATTTCACTTTCATCTATGGAGACGATCAAGCTCTTATCTATAAGAATCACTAGCTTTTTTGTCTGGCGAAAAAAAAATTCTTCTGTTTGGCCTTGGGCTTTTAGTCATCGCCATCTTGATTTGTGACGTCATAGGTCGGCCATCTTGGAAACATCAGCTGACCCATCTAGACCAATAGTAGATTGACTGGTTATCTTGTTTATTATTTACAGGACAGGGATAGACGGCGGAAGAGACTACAACCACCACTGATACAGGGTTCCATGACGATCCTCAGTAGAATTAGAAGATTAAAGAGCGAGGGTTGAGAACCGGAATTGTGCCATTGGCTCAAAGAAATTTAAAGAAGCTGTAGACGCGGGCTTCATATTAAATTTATTTTAAATTTAATTTAATGAAAATCATTAAAGACCAAAATTACTGCATATGCAATGACGTGCCTATTTGGTACTGATATCACAACGTATTTACATATATGCTCACTAAGACACTGAACTGTGTCACTAAAGAAGCCTTTGATTGTTTATTTTCTCTTGTTTGATCATTATATAATTAGTTTGCTTGAGTAGATTTCTGATACAGAAATGCAATAGGAAGTAACAAGTATATATGCAAAGGGTGACTAACTCAATCGTAGTGAGTTTTTTTTTAATAATCAAAATCAAAGAAAATAGAACAGTCAGTATTTGACTAACAGGAACTTTTTTCTGCAAAGATGAATTTCAAAATATGTTGTGTCATTGAGCATGAAGAACATTCTAACAATTACTTGAGCAGTGAATCCAAAATATCTTGCAAAGCATGTTCATATTTTACAGCTTTTGTGCCTGATTTTGTACCATTGACTTTCACAAGGTTCAAATTCAATACAACGTTTATATGTTAAAACAAATATGATATAAACATCAAAGTACTAATTTGTAATGTGCTCTAGAAGTATTGAAAGCTATATGTACCCAAGATTATTACCAAGAATAAAGAGAAACAGTGTGTGGTTAAAATCTTTTCCATTATTCTTTGTCTACAAGCTCAATTTTCTATTAATTTTTGAATACGTACCAACAACTTCAAAAATCACGAATTTGTCCTAGTAGTAATAGTCTGTAACAGTTTTCCTCTCTCTTTACTGTAAGTGGGACAAGTCATAACAAATTGAAATTTATCTTCAATATTTTCATTACATGCGGGACACAGTCTCTGAGTGGCTGGTGTACTGTGGTGTCGAATACACCGTGATTTAGTAAGTTTTAATTGTGATTGTATTTGTCATCGCCATGTTTTCTACATGTCCTGAAGCGTTATTACAAGGCAACCAAAAGGTCAAACGTCAAGGATAATCATGCATAATTTGCTCTGAGTTCATGCTTGAGAAATTACACTTAACCACAACTCAGTCAAATGTCAACTGTTGACAAATCATAAGGCAGGCATATCTTGATTTAAAACCCTTGTTCTGCGAGACCCATATATATATATATATATATGGCTTGTACATACTGTACCATCTGCCCTGTGTATGTACCATTTGGGGGTATTTCTCGTGCAACGCATCACACCGCAGCGAAACGCAACAATTGCGGATGTAACCACGCCACCCCAAGGCAAAAAAAATCCAAGGGTCTGTGACCTGATTACGACTTCAAATTACTTGAAAATATTGTGTAAAAAAAGTCCAGCACGACAAGGGGTAAATATAGATATCGAGGTGTGGTAAACAGCAGTTACCTGTGATCTACAATTCAATGATATACAGTACGTCAAGGTCTGCGAGGTTGATACCAACTGTGACCTTGATACCAAACATGTCGACTAGACTAAACCAAACGACAGTATCATTTAATTTCACCCTTTATGCTCTGACCTCCATTCCTTGATTTTCGTGCTTTTGACCTTGAACGGCTAGGATTTTGAGTATTGGACTACGACTCTGTTTTGACGAATCGGACTTTTATGTTTACTGTATGTTGTCTTACTGTACGTTACTATGTCCTGTGTAATTTTGCTGGGCCCCCTTGGAAAACAGCTGATTCAAGCTGAATTGGGGCTACCCAGCCGTCTTGAGATGAAATAATAATAATAATAATAGTCTGTTTCGAGTATCACTTGAGAGAAGATACTGTATGTAAACTATGTCGTCTTTGTTGACTTACACCAAGGAGGTTAAACGTGACTAGCCCACCCAGAGTGCTAGAAAGCATTCAACTGGAAGAATAATGTTGCAAGGTCGGTAGCAGGGTTAAAGATCAGTACGCGCATTGTTAGGCATACGTAACGTCTGCCAAGAATCCACATTGCTCCTACATTGCGAGCCCCTGAATACACTGAGGACGACACACGAAGCAAAACATACCCAAGGTGAGCTTTAGTTCATAAAGGCTCCTATAACAGGGGCATATGGTTCCAGCATCTTTTCTGAGTGACAGAGAGTACTTTAGTACTGTTGATTTCAGCATTTTTACCTCCATGACTTGAGGTAGGCAGCCTTTCCCAGTATCGGCTCTGCTAAAGAATCCAGTCATAAGAAAACTTACAACGACCTCACTGAGTCTAAATTAGAGGTGAGAAAGACTAAACGCAGTGGTGGCTCTGTGTATAAGTAACCTGAATTCATTGTTTTGAATGAGCCTGCGGCAATTGATAACACAGGGATCCCAATGGCTCTCATACACAGTCCAACCCGCCCCCCTCCCCATTCGAAACATATCCAAGATGAGCTTTAAGCTTAAGGATCCTAACAGGGGCATATGACTCCGCTCCAGCGTCTTTTCTGAGTGACAGAGAGTACTTTAGTACTGTTGATTTGAGCATTTTTACCTCCATGACTTGAGGTATGAAGCCTTTCCCACTATCGGCTCTGCTAAAGAATCCAGTCATAAGAAAACTTACAACGACCTCACTGAGTCTAAATTAGAGTTGAGAAGGACTAAACGCAGTGGTGGCTCTGTGTATATTAAAGTGACATGAATCCATTGTTTTGAATGAGCCTGCGGCAATTGATAACACAAGGATTCCAATGGCTCTCATACATAGTTCAACCCGCCCCCCTCCCCATTCGAAACATATCCAAGATGAGCTTTAAGCTTAAGGCTCATAACAGGGGCATATGGCTCCGCTCCAGCGTCTTTTCTGAGTGACAGAGAGTACTTTAGTACTGTTGATTTGAGCATTTTTACCTCCATGACTTGAGGTATGCAGCCTTTCCCAGTATCGGCTCTGCTAAGAATCCAGCTGCAGTCTTAAGAAAACTTACAACGACCTCACTGAGTCTAAATTAGAGTTGAGAAGGACTAAACGCAGTGGTGGCTCTGTGTATATTAAAGTGACATGAATTCATTGTTTTGAATGAGCCTGCGGCAATTGATAACACAGGGATCCCAATGGCTCTCATACACAGTCCAACCAGCCCCCCTCCCCATTCGAAACATATCCAAGATGAGCTTTAAGCTTATGGCTCATGACAGGGGCATATGACTCCGCTCCAGCGTCTTTTCTGAGTGACAGAGAGTACTTTAATTAGTACTATTGATATGAGCATTTTTACCTCCATGACTTGAGGTATGCAGCCAGGTTTCCCAGTATTGGCTCTGCTAAGAATCCAGTCATAAGAAAACTTACAACGACCTCACTGAGTCTAAATTAGAGGTGAGAAAGACTAAACGCAGTGGTGGCCCTGTGTATACTAAAGTGACATGAATTCATTTTTTTGAATGAGCCTGCGGCAATTGATAACACAGGGATCCAATGGCTCTCATACACCAGTCCCAACCCGCCCCCCCCCCTCCCCATTCGAAACATATCCAAGATGAGCTTTAAGCTTAAGGCTCATAACAGGGGCATATGACTTCGCTCCAGCGTCTTTTCTGAGTTTCAGAGAGTACTTTAGTACTGTTGATTTGAGCATTTTTACCTCCATGACTTGAGGTATGCAGCCTTTCCCAGTATTGGCTCTGCTAAGAATCCAGTCATAAAAAGATAAAAATAACCTCACTGAGTCTGAATAAGTGGTGGCAAGAACGCAGTGGTGGTTCTGTGTAGGTGAAAGGAGTTCTTTGTTTGAATCAACCTGTGGCAATTGCTATAATCTAAGGACTTCAATGGACTCTCGTACACAGTCCTTACCGCCCCCCTCCCCATTCCCGCGCGATCGCCATTTACTTATCAACATAGAAGAAAAAGAAGTAGATTTACCGGTTTCTCTTCAACTAAATATGACCCCTTGCCCCCCCCCCCCCACTCTTTATAAAGATCGGTTGTTGACTTTAAAACTAAGCAAAAAGGCTAAAGAACCATACAAAACCTAGAAGGAGGGAGATAATGGAGTGAAAGAGAGAGAGAGAGAGAATAGAGCAATTCGACTTCCATTTCTTTATGACAGAAACGTGTATGTCCATAGGTTTTTGCACCGTAGTTGTTTTACTTGACCATATAAACAACGACAACAATGCTATATATGTATATAAAAGTTGGCTTTCTGGAAGCCATGATCAGTTCACCATGTGTCAATCAATGCTAAAATGCTGACTAGTGCTAAATTGTATTTTGGAACGCTTTTTTTAATAGTAGCAAAAAAGAATCAGAATTGGGATAGAAACTGACATATTATATTTGGAGGTTCATTCATTAATATCTACTCTGTTGCAGACAGGTATGTCGTTGACAAACAGTTTTCTGGACCTTCGCCAGGAGGCGCCTTCAGAGGACGAGCGCCCCCTGTCAGACGACACCGTGCATGACAAGGGACGCGGAAAGGAGGGGGAGGGGCGGTGTGGATTGTGCTGTTGCGTGCCTGACTGTCTGCAAGTGTTTAACTCACCTCGATGGCTGCTGTTCTTTATGTGTATCCTGTGCGCCTCTGAGGTTTGTATCAAGTTCAAGTTTTTTTTTTTTTTTAGCTGGCTCAAATTTTCACTAGAATGGACTCTAGAAAGAGAATAGCTGCCTTCATGTACCAGAGTTATCAACCAAGGATTGATGTGTTCAAGAATTCATTCTTTCCCAGAACTATCACAGAGTGGAACTCGCTGTCACCAAGTACAGTAATTGTCATTAGATAACTTTAAACAATGTCTAGAGTTAGACGTTCAAGGGTTAGGTGTAGCATGTCGATTGGTGTAACACAGCCGGCTGCCGCCGCGCCGCGTGCCCGCGAAGCTGGTGTGTTACGCCGAAAAACGGTTATACCGGCTATACAGATACAGAATCGGATGTATTGTCAACACTAATGGAGATTCCTTGATAAACAAACAAACGAACTATGAACTATTTTTCTCAGCAATAGTACATACAATTGCAATACTCTGAAAAAGGCTACCTAACAGACAGAATAAATGAAAATAGGGTGACGTTATACTAAAATTGATATATATCAATAGTGTATAACAGGGTGATATTATACTAAAAGTAATACTGTGCTTTAACCATTTCCATAAGGCTGCGATACTCATAGGACTGACGCCGGGGGTTATATCCACCATCGAGCGCCGGTTTGAGTTCTCGAGCGCCAAAAGTGGGTTCATCGTCAGCTCAACAGACATCTTCGCCGCCATTTCGGTTCCTGTCATCTCTTACTATGGCGCGAAATCTCACAAGGTAAGGCGATGAACGAAAAGAAGAAACAACATCATGTGAAAACAGGTATCCGTAAAGTAAAATAAAACATACTAAAACTAGAAAGGTAACATTTGCCAAGCAAATGCATAATGTTTACCTTCGCATATGGTCTGCTCTGTTAATTCTTACTCAAATATATTCACATATACATGTCATGATGGTCAGACAGGAGTCCAAATCCCTCCTGCTATAAAATTGCAACATGATGTAACCCAACACCAGTTACCATGGTACAGGTTATTGACCAGGTCAGTGTTTGAAACTGAAGAAGAAACAAAGGGAAAACAATATGTTTTCCTTCGGCGAACATAACTAAAACAAGTAATCAAATATTTTCCGGCCAATAGATGTACATAAAGCCGGAAGTTGAAGACATGAAATGAGATTTCCTTTCTGAGATCTTTTTTGGACGTTTTGACTACCCCTCCTATGTCTGACCTTTTCACTTCCTGTCAGTCTGCGGTTACAGCATTCACCCACCCACGTACTGTCACTCTGATGTACGGGCACATAAACGAATTGAAAACAATATCTCTGTGTAAGAATTGAAAGTAAAATAGTACGGTTGAAAATAGCAATAAACTTTCAATTTAAGAACATACAAAAACAGTCTATTGTAGGAATGATGTTAACACAATCTATTTTTTTATATAACCCATGACCAGGGTCGTTGGCTCGGTGTAGGAGCAGTGCTTCTAGGCTGCGGCAGTACCTTATTTGCCGTTCCTCATTTTCTTGCAGGTAAAACATTTTGATGCTGTTTTTCTTAACATTTTTCTAAAGACTTTTGAATTCCTTTGTCGATGCGATGAATATATAGTGTAGGCAATTATACCTGGTAACATTGATATTCCTTCATTTAGTTCCCTAGTTAAGAACTGTAGATATGATTATATTGCATAACACTCTGTATTGTTATATAGCTTGGGTGCCAGCCTCCGTAGTTACCGTTTTACACTAAATGTATTAATTTGTTGTTCCACTTTCTTTATTCATTTTTAGCCAACTCGCTATTCAATCATTTGGTCCTTGCCTCTGCAAATGCAAATGCTTCTTACATCTTCCCTGTAGGTCGATATGTTGTTTCTGGCACCAACATTTCTGAGTCGGACAGCACCCTTTGCCATCATTGGTCGAACAGAACAACCAATGAACAGTGCTACACAAACGACGGGTAGGGCCTGGATTACATCATCTAGTGTGTAGTGAAGTTCAATTGCATTTTTATCTCTCTTCATGTAAACAATGATAATGTAACATTCTATTGTCACTAATTTGTGCCTGGGAGGAGCTATCTATACTATACAAAGCTCTCTCTCTTTATTTCTCTCTCTCTCTCTCTCTCTCTCTCTCTCTCTCTCTCTCATTTTATGATAGAGAAATAACGTCTATGTAAGAAACAATACGTACGTGTATATGTGTGTCTTTGTATTGCATGTATGTGTGTGTGTGCGTTTGTGTGTGTGTGTGTGTGTGTGTGTGTGTGTGTGTATATATAATTTTGTGTGTGCGTGTGCACATGCGTGCTTGTGTGAGTCTCACAGTGTGTTCATGCCTTGAATGGCAATGAATTATGATAAACACACGTACAGCAATGCTAAAAACACGTACGCCTCTACATACCTAATATCTATCCCATGGTTTGTAGGTATTCCCATCTGCAGAATTATCTGTACGTGTTCATCGCTGCACAGCTGCTCATGTCCTTCTGCCCCGGACCCTTGTATAGCGTAGGGGTCGCCTATCTGGACGAGAACGTGAAGAAAAAAGTGTCAGGTGCTTACATTGGTAAGTAGTAGTCTGCTTTGCCATGCTAAGGCCATGCCGCCTTAATTTTATGGATGGCATCCGCGCGCGCATTGATTTTCACCTGTTCTCAAAAAAAAAAAAAGATTACGTCCACCGAGGCTTTGTCCTGGCTCTAGGCCTGGGTAGTCCATGGTAGTAAGCAATACGGAGCCGGGCACCCAGGCTATCGAACCTGCACGACTAAAGAACTCAGTACATACCTATAGTGCCGATTCATAAATTCCGCAGAAAGCCAGCATGTGCCGGCTTGTACTATACGTCGCTATGTACTGCCACAAATTCACAATACCAGCTTTGTATTCCTGTGGTTTAGTGGCATTTTTTTTTGGCCGGATTTTTCTTTAATTCGCCCGCGCGCACTAGTTTGGGGGTCTACTGAGGATGTCATCAATAAAATTAAGTCCTTTGATAATAACAAGTTTACTTCGGTCAATAATGTTCACAAAAACATGTTTACTATTGTTATCATCATAACAGGGCACCCTATGTATTTTGGACGAAAAATGTCACTTTTTTTAAAATTGCAATGGAGATATTGTTTCTAAGTAAAAGGAATTAAGTCAGCAATTTTGGGGCATCTATATTGCCTTCCACCGGATAAATGGCCTTTATTGCTGACACGTGACCTTACATATAATATAGTGTTAGGTCAAAGGTGTCTTGAAGTCGGTACCGGCCCCCGTGCAATGTGTCAAACCGAATGTCAGATGTCATACTTTGACTTTGTTTAATTTTTTTTTTCTAGGGATTCTGTATGCTGTAGCGAGTGCCGGTCCTGGTCTCGGTTACGTCATTACCTCTCTAATGCTGAATCAGTACATTGACTGGCCGGAAGTCAATGGTTACAAGTACGTTTTCTGTCCTTATTTTATTTTGTTTACTTTTATAATTGCAAACGCATCAATACAATGGAAGCCCTGGTAGCTATGGCTGATATCGGGCCCCACATACATACATACATACATACATACATAAAATTTATGACCAAGTAGAGTCATAAATTATAAAATTACTTATACACTAAAATACATTAGGTTCGGCACATGACAATATCATAACAGAGTATAGTTTGGAGGCCAGAGGTCATTCAAATATAATAATATTTACATATTTACAGTACACGTAGGAATAGATGGAAGGACTTGCGATTACAAGACGTTTGTTGATATCGATGAAATGTAGGTGTGAAGAGTAGCCGAAAAATTTTGATCTGTAAAAGAGTTAATCTTTTACATATATTTTGGTCAGTTGTCGTTTTTGTCTTTGTGTTCTTGTAACATATTAGAGGCGAGGCCTTTTAATATATGATATAACGTTTGCGTCTATAGTACGAAAAAATTGGTATTGTGTATAGCCTAGGGAATCGCACAATGCGTACCTGGTCCAGAAATATTACATAATGAACTTAGGGAGAATCACATGAAGATTATGAATTGCACAATTTTGACCCCCATAATTTGTTCAGTTGTCGTCATTGTCACCTGACTGTACTAAAAAAAGCAAAGTAAATGTAGGTACTGATAATTAATTTGCTTTGATTTATTGAGATTGCAAACAATGCAATACTCGTGGGCCACAGGCAGCGGGGGCTGGTGTTGTGGCCCACACACAAAACAATTATAAGCACACAAACAAGACGCACTTTTTAAACCCAAATTCAAGTACATAAAAATTGCAATAATTGTTTATTGTTTCACAATAATTGTTTTACAATAATTGTTAATTGTTTAACAGCTCTGGACTAACACCGTACGACCAGCGATGGCTCGGCAACTGGTGGTTCGGGTACTTCGTTTTGGCCACCGTCGCCTTTCTGGTTGCTTTTCCGTTGTTCTGCTATCCACAAAAGCTGCATGGTAGATATTTTATATGCATTTGATAGTCATTTGAATTGCTTTGCTTATATCATTAGTTTACCTCATTTTTTGTCGTAAAAGAACGTGTATGTGTGGTAAAAGAGTAAGAGTAAATGTTGAAGTATAATCGACCCTTTGATATTGTGTGCAACTTGCTACCTTTATAGCTATTAGACTATTTTTGCATACAGTAACACTGTGAAATGATATAAAAACTATATGTCATAAGAATTCTATGAAAACGTTACTAATAGTTTACTGTTTCACCATAATTGTATTTTCAATTTTTAGGTCCAAAAAATGGTTCAGAAATATCAGAAGAGGAAACTGCCATTTCTAGTAGTAAAGATGTCAAAGATGACGTCTTGGAAGCAGAGGATGACGGGATTACATACACCCAGACGTTTCTCTGCGGTTCGCAGGAATTCTGGTCCACCGTGAAGGATCTTGGGAGCAATTACTCTTATGTGTGTTTATCGCTTGCAGGTTTGTTTATGTTTTGAAATCTCTCACAGTTACATACAGTTAATTGTTATGAAAATAACACGTTAAGAGGGGTTTTCAATTCCAAACATTTGATATAATCAACGTCTAAAATAAGTGTACATATAAGCTAATCTGAGATTGTTTTGGCCGTCATATATGCTAAAATGACGTAAGGTCTCGCGAGACTTTGTAATCTCGGAAGTAAACTGTCAACCCTAACGAGGTTAATGTTGATTCATGTTCTTAATTGTATCGTTGTATCTATATCTGTCAATAAAACGATGATCGTGTATCTTTTTACTGAGTCATATGTATTCCTAAATATTTTTTTTCACTTTTCAGGCTGCCCAGAAGCCATGGTACTGGTTGGGATAGTAACGTTTGCACCCAAACTGGGACAAACACAACTTGGACTTCACCCTTCCGAATCTGCGCTCTATCTCGGTAAAATAGACATTGATAACCCACTTTCAATCCACTATAATGTTAAAAAAAAACAATTCATAATTATTTGCCAAAATTAACAGCAATCACAAATCATAAACTGTAAAGGAAAAGCATACCGTTATTTTTGTTGTTTCCTTTTTATGGCTATAAAAACAAACTAGAAAGATAACATTTGCAAAGCAAGCGTTGCATGGTCACGTGGTCAAGACTAAGAAACTACTGCTCTGTTTATTTCTACTTAAACACATCCATAGACTAGTGTATGGTGGACCAGAGCAGGAGAAGGGACAGAGCAAACAAAATATGGTTTTCTTCTGGTAACTTAAAAGTAAACATAAATATGAACCCCCTCCATCTTTTCGTACACATACAGGGTTGATGTCCCTGCCAGCAGGAGCGATAGGCAATCTGTTGGGCGGTTGGATCACCAAAAAGGCCGGGGCAGACTGCAAGAAACTACTAAAAATACTCCTGTTCATTTCGGTACTGTCCTTGTTGGGGCACTGCGACTTTCTCCTGTATTGTAACACGCCTGGCATAGCTACCTATCTCTACAGCAACAACAGGTAAAATCACTTTAACAATACTTCTCAATAATATAGTTTGATTTTTAAGTTTAATGTTTTTACTGAATAATCTTTAACACTGATTAGAAGTTTTCTTACAAAACGTTTGCTAAGTATTTCAAAGGTAGCTTCATTTCCAAAATGACTGTCAATCTTCCACCCCACGTCCTGTCAACCTAAATCTGTTGGTACAGATATACAAACCGAAATTTCAGCCACCCAAAACAATACTCCCGTACCAGATAGCAACAGTATCCCTTTTTCTCAGTATAGCTACTGACACTGACACTGCGACTATGATCATGGTGATGATGATGATGATGACAATTTTGTTTTATACAGCTCAAATTCTTGTACATAACGTCATCCTTTGTCCAAAATTATTATTCATCGTCTCTGATTCCACACTTTTATTTTTTATTTTTTCATTGACATGACAGCACAAGCTGTTCCAGAGACTGTGGCTGTGCAGATTCCCTGTACGATCCTATCTGTGACAGCAGTGGGTTTGAGTACCAGTCCGGCTGCCATGCAGGATGTACAGGCATCAACCAGACTGGACCTACTAAGGTTTGTTACCTATACGTTGCAGTGCGGGTTTTGGAAGTAAATACTTTCTTTGCGTTTGGGAACGCAACGACACCTGTGCTGCTGTGCAATGTGAACCTGTCATAATTGCCCTGAGAAATTAAGATGACACACGGTCACCATTCTCACCCAAACGTTGGCAGTGAATAAAACACTAGGTTGTGCAAAGACTCTGTGAATCTCTTTATTCTGTGCGGTTGTTGGTTTATGTCACTGATGAGATATTTATGACCACATTGTTGATTATTTGAAAAAGTTGCAATCATCACAAGTTTTAATAGATATTTTTTTAATTGGTGAAGGGGCAAAACAATATTTCGAGGAGTGTTTTGAACAGAAATGAATTCAGATCCTGTGCTATTTCAGTGTATTAAGGTAACGTTGACTACATGTAAATATTCCAGCCAAAGTAAAGACAAAAATATATAAATCTGACTATTGAGTCAAATAGCAGTTTTGCCTGATCCTAAAATTGGTATTTACTGTGTAGAACTGACACTATTTGTTATATGTGTAGACTTACTCCAACTGTAGCTGCATCATGGGAGACTGGCTGCTCGTAAACGTCACTTCCGGTTCCGGGTCAGAGGCTGTGCACGGTCCCTGTGCCGGTGGTTGCCCTGGTTACATCATGCCCCTCTTTCTCACCGTGTTCGTCCTCCTGGCCCTCATCAGCACGTCGGCTTTTCCTCCATACACCGCAGCTACACTGAGGTTATCACACACCCATTATCATAAAATAAAACTAGAAATTACATATCTATGTTTAAAGGATAAAAATAGAAAGTTATCGTTTACAAAATTTGAGCAAATGTATAATGCTTACCTTCACCCGTCTATTCTTTTTCAAAGTCAAACACATCATAATTGATTCATACGTATATGGCGAGCAGGCTCTTCAACTCTGTCCTGCTACATAATGTAACCCAACACCACAGGGTGCCTGGTACGACACCAGTTACCATGGTGACAGACGCATGGTCCAGGTCATTGACTTTATTTGCTTGAAGAGTGATAATAAGAAGAAACCGAGCAAAAGCAATGTGTTTTCCTTCTGCAAGACAAGCATTAGCATAACGGATTGCTCTCGAGGAGTAGACGTTTTGTTTCAGTTTGGGGGGGGAGGGGGGCAGAGCTTCACAGAAATAAAGAGATAGATTGCACATTCTTAGATCATTGACAAAGACAAGTACTAGAGTTTAACAGCCGAAAAATTGGGTAAGTCCAATTCGTGTGTTGGAGATTACAGTTCGAACTTGTTTCATATCAAAGATGTACAAGATGGTTGTTCGTACTTCTTGCATGTTACAGACTTGTTCCAGAATCAAGGAGGTCGTTTGCCCTTGGAGTTCAATGGACCTTAGCAAGATTACTTGGTAACTTTCGCTTTTTTCTTTTTAAGCTGCATTATGTAACATTAGGACGATACAAAAAAAGTCAAGCTTCTGGTCGTTTATTTTTGTCGAATCACGCCTTCTCCAATGCAAATAAATGTAATTCAGGAAGTGGAGGTGTCGAAATATGTCGTATTACGAGTGTGTTTAAAAGATTGAAATAAAGCTGTCAGCCATGTTTGTTTACATTCTGGTAGTTTATGGTGGTGCCACAAACTAAGTTCGCATCGTTAGCGCCAACCACAAATGTTCGAAATGTGATATAATTATTTCACAAATATGTTATTAGAAAATTACATGCACACGAAGATTGTTTTTAACAAGAATATTTTAAATATTTGTGCAAAATGGCACACAGTAAATCTCCCATGACCAATCCTATCAAGATTAGTTTTTATGTAACATACTATGAAATTATTGTTTTTTACACTGATGATTACTTATTGGTTGATATTGTGAATATTGTTAAGCTCATTTTACGCACTTATTTAGTTGCCTATATGTTAACTGTGAAATACTCACTTGTTTAGTTGTCTATTTGTTACTCGCAACTGTGCAATATTTGTTTCTCTGTTTTTAAACACTAGCATACAATTCAGCGCTACTTTTTTAGTTGCGCTGCCACATGCTAGTGATTGTACTCATCGATCAATCAATAAACAATCATTATTATTATTATAAAAAGTTACAAATACATTTTAAGCGTCAATTTTATATCTAGATCTTTATAATTTTACTAAAACTTACTTAAGAAAGAATTAAATAAAAATATGATAATTAATGTTTGCAGGTATGATTCCTGGACCAATCGTGTTTGGTTACATCATAGACCAGGCATGCGTACTGTGGCAGGACAGCTGTGGGGAGGTGGGCGCCTGTGTAGTTTACGACAGCAGCAAACTGGGTCTGTACATGCTCGCTGCATCAGTGGGTATCAGACTGGTGTCCATGGCTCTGTACATAGCTGCATACTGTCTGTACAAACCAGTGGCAGAAGAAAAGACAATATTGCCCAAAAATACTGATATGTTAGAAACAGCTATATAGTCTTGTGAATGTCATATATAAATTATAAGTTAAACTAGAGAAGTAACATTTGCAAAGCAAATGCATAATGTTTACCTTCGGACATGGTCTGCCCTGTTAATTTTTACTCAAACATATTCACATACATGTACTACTAGTATATGGTGACAGGAGCAGAGCACACCATGAAGTTTGCAACATTATGTGACCCAACACCAGTCACCATGGTGACAGACGTCAACAAATCATGTCATTGGCCAGGTCAGAGGTTAGTGTTTGAGAAGAGGAAATTGACTAAAAACAATATGTTTTCCTTCGGTTAACATAATGATAACAAGGTGTAATAATTAACCTGTAACCATGTAAGCAATTGTGTATCTAATTGCTTTCATATCGGGACATGGAAGTATTGTTTTGGGTGGCTGAGCAGTGTTCAGTTTGTGTGTCTGCTTGTCCGGACTAAGGAGGTTGACAGCACGTGGGTAGGTAAATTTTGGCAGAAAGACAAGAGGTCAAAGGTGAATTGCAAAATCTGGCCTAGAGTTCGTAGGAATTAGTGGTCGACATGGCTGAATTCAGAAACTCAATGGTGCTTTGAAACTATACAGATTTGATTGGTACGTGTATATTAAATTACATTGTGTATTGCTACTGATGTTTTTAGTGCTGTGAATTGCTATTTATGTTTTGCTTATTCTGGAATCTTGCATGTTTTTATTGATAGAGTGATAGAGACACATTTCGTTTGTATCCACCGTTTATTCTTCGTAGTTACGACAACTGATTAAAATAGTATGCATTGATTACGATAGTACATTCACTGATTAAGATACTTGAATAAAAGCTTTATTGAATTATTATTTTCATTATTTATCATTATTATCATTAAATTAGTACATCAAAATAATGTAGTTATTTGTAAATCATATGGCATCCTAGTCTAATAACTTAGACAAAAACTGCTTTAACGAGCTTTAGTAAACGATACAAAAATATATATGTTTGGCTTTTACCGATCTTACTAAAAATTGCCCCTACTATCAACTCCTTTCTAAATAATCACCAGAAATAGTTACTAAATGGCACAAAGTAATATAAAGACGAGAGGTTGAGAAAGCCCTTTAAACAACTCATACATTATACTGTACGGTAGCCCACAAGCATAAATTTGTCGTAAACGAAAACAGTTGGTCCCTATGGGCCATTTTTATACGTTGATTACATCATCATATTCAGTTTGCATCTTTGATATCAAAGGAAATACATGTAGGAAATCAAATCTCTGGATATATAACTTCTATAATTGCATAGGTTCACATATCACATGGAAATAACACACATATTACTAACATACATCCTGATTTGTCAAGTATTATAAAGAAAACTCTGTTTAATTGTGTTAAATACAAAATTCGATATGCAACCCAATACATGTACATTTACACCGTTTAAATTTGAAATGGTTATAAGCCTTTTTACTTTTACATTGTCCAACTATTACCAATTATGAGCTGCTGTTTATTTTTAGACTGAAAATTCATATGCCGATAGAAGAAATTATTAAGAAATGTCAACTTTTGTCTTTGACTATGGCTCAACATCCAATGACAGGCAAAATTACTCAAGCTTGGGCTTCTTTGTCAGATTTGAGAACATTTTTGTCATCATCATTGTCAGGAGTATCTTCGGGTGTTGGTTTGCATACCAGATACGCCAGGAAACACAAGGCAACACCCACAACTCTCAGCCCCGTACCCAACCCAAACACGAACAGACCCACTTTGCGGCTGTCGTAAACCAGACAGGCACCTCGTTGGCCGCAGGAGGTCTGCCACTGTACGCATGCGTTGTCCATGGCGCGGCCGTAAACTATTGGTCCCGGAATCATACCTGTAAATGAGTCATAATAACAAGTGGCCAAAAGATCTCCGCACTTGTATTTTTAGACCTAAGTGTTCAAGATAATTTACTACTTCTACTACTTCTACTACTACTACTACTACTATTACTACTACTACTACTACTACTACTACTACTACTACTGCTGCTGCTGCTGCTGCTGCTGCTGCTGCTGCTGCTGCTACTACTATTACTACTACTACAAAAGATACTCTAAGATATAAAATGTTCTCTAATTTTATTACGAATGGCGTAACTCACGTGTACTGTATTTCTTTATTTTTAAAGATGCTTTTATGTGCACGTTTTATACGGTCACTTTGTACCATAAACTCATCATTACCGTTATCAAATCATTTGTCTTTCTTTCCCCTCTCCTGCCACCGTTAAGGTTAAGTTCCGTGAAGTTTTCCATTTTCCTCAGACCGTGAAATTTTGCTACCGTGATGATGAAGTGAATTACAGTATTGTATGATTTCACTAAGTTTAAGAGATACTACAAGATATCAAATATTATTAATTTTTTAGAATTACCAATGATCCGCATGAGAGTCCACTGCATCCCGAGTCCAAATGAACGCAGCTTGGGGGGAACAAGCCTGCAATGAAAAAACAAGACTGGCAATGAAAACATGCATTGCCATGGCGACGGTGGTTGCTGTAAAGGTTATTGTTTGCATGGCACTGCCATCATTTCATGATTTTGAGGAAGACTTGGTACCTGTTAAGTCTAGACAGATATACAGTGCACTCCTCCCCTTAGTGTATAGTGAACGAGCCCCGGGGTCACAGAAAGTAGGGCCATCGGGGCAGACAGGTCTTTGCAAGGGTTTCCAGGAATGTGGGCATAGATGTGGGTCAAAGAAATGCCTGTGGACATTCCATTCCTGTGGACAAAATGCCTGTACCATTCCTAGAATTCTTGCAAACTGCACACAATACTGTACCATTAGGCTCCTCCCTAAGACGTCGCCAAAAACACTGATGAATAGGTTGTCAATAAGGTGAGTGGGAGTTAATTTTGACAGTCGATTGACAGAGATCACCTTGGAGGACAGTCTAAGGTGTAAGTGACCTAGCACAAGCATTTAGGAAGTAGTATAAAGGTCTTTATTCATTCATTCATTCATTCGTTCATTCATTCATTCATTCATTCATTCATTCATTCATTCATTCATTCATATAATATCCAATCAAATTACGTCATACAATTTCCTCAACCGTTCCAGTAGTCTCCAGGTGGATACCCAAGGCGCATTGAATGCCGTCTGGCAACTACCGTCTTTGCAGCCAGCAAACGATCTACTTGGAGATTACAGTTCCAGTACAATTCATGATTAGTTGAACCCATCAACCCCCCACCCCCCACAAAAAAAATTCACTGAGGTCTGTGAATTTGAAGCTCACAAAAACCCAAAGTCCTGTTTAGGCCACAGCAAGTAAGTTTTATGGATGACATCCTCCGCAGACTCCAAATCTAATGCGATAGGGTGAAAAAGAAACAAGACGGACCAAAAAAAGATATTCTTACATGTTCAAAATTTGACATCATAAACCTTTGTAAACAAGAAATGATACTACCTATATTGTGCTAAGTTTACTGCCAACTGTTACAACATCCATTTGTCACTGAAACATGTCATCCATAATAATAACTAGAGAAGTAACATTTACAAAGCAAATACATTATGTTTACCTTTGACATGGTCTGCTCTTTTAATTCTTACTCAAACACATTCACATACATGTATGTGGTGACAGGAGCAGAGCAGACCATGAAATTGCAACATTATGTAACCCAACACCAGTCACCATGGTGACAGACGTCAACAAATCATGTCATTGGTCAGGTCAGAAGTCACTGTTTGGAGAAGCAGAAGAGGAAGAAACTGAACAAAAACAATATGTTTTTCTTCGGTAAACATAATAATAATTTGCTGTGGACTTACCTCAATGTGACAGCTGTAAAGGCAGGTCCGGCGGTTGAACCGATGAAGCCCATGAGAAACAGGACCACGAAGAACACAGGCAGGACGTGAGAACCGCAGTTCCTCGGGCATGCGCCGTGGGTGGCATATGACGTCACGTTTGTGGTGACGTTGCTCTGTATCCCTCCGCCCAGGTTACAGCCGCAGCCGGTGTACATCTGAGGAAGGAAATAAACAAACAAATAAACAAACAAACAAACAGACACATACACAACGTCATCAAACTCAAGACGCTGTATTCCGTTCTATTTTTTAACGTAACACACTGTACAACAAAGTGAAAGATGTTAATTTGTTTTGAATAGATAGAATTAATAAATTGATAAATAGAATTTGTAGAAAAAATATTGACAGTCGATCCTAAATGATACGGTTGAAAATATTAGTGTCAAGTTTTTGAAATATTTGTAAAGGAAAAGGACAAAATTACGTTTATGAAACATTTCTCACAAAGTCTTTAACCGACAAACATGGCGGTCAGAAAATGACGTAATAGTCACGTGACTGCAAAAGGTCACACGACTCACCATACTTGTGTAGTTGACAGCGGCACAGCCGGCATGACAGGGAGACTGATACTCACCATAGTTGTGTAGTTTTTAGCGGCACAGCCGGCATGACAGGGAGACTGATACTCCACACCGTTCCCGCCACACACCGGGTCGTACAGGCTGTCTGCGCAGCCGCACTCAGTAGAGCAGGTCATACTGATAAACAAGATGGCCGTCAGTAAACAAGATGGCCGTCAGTAAACAAGATGGCCGTCAGTAAACAAGATGACCGGTTAGTAAAGTATCATCAAGATGGCCGTCAGTGAACAAGATGGCCGGTTAGTAAAGTATCATCAATTCTTGACATTTTCTTTTACCAATGACACATTTGATGGGAAGACTTTAAGTTGTCACAAACGTATACAACTTATTCATGTCCAAAAGCAAGTTCACAGTTCCAAATGCACATTTATATTGATGATTGTTGTCTAATGACCTTGAACTTTGACCTTAGACCACAATGCATCACAACTACACATGCGCACTTGGAACTGTGCTGCTTGGGGTCACCTGGCTACTATTTCAGCGATAAAACATCCACAAATATACATCAATTTCCTACATATGCACATACACATTAAAATATGTTGACGTTATTCTTTAACCTCTGTGCCCATTCTTCATTTCACACTGTTGTAGATAGTCCGGTTATGTAATGGTTGTGAGTGCCCTAACTATAGGTGAAGGTATAGGTGATGTTTCATGTTTTAAAAGTCAGAAGTATAGGGTGTTTGTAATGTTTATGATTTCAGGAAGACTATTGTAACGTAAGTATGAATGGAGACCTGTCAGACAATGCTTACCTATTGTCTATGCTGACGTACGCTTTGTGTGCCTCTGGGCAGTACATGAGGAAAACAAACACCCCCAGTCCTGACAGCACGAAGGCGGCGAAGACATACAGTAACAGCCGCTTACAGTTCACTCCTATCTTCTTACTGATCCATCCGCCGATCAAGGATCCTAACGCCGCTCCGGGAACCATGGACAGCCCTGTACGTGTATCAAATGTTACTCAACCAACTGGATGGATTTTGACAACAGTCAGACGTTTTAACTAGCATTCACTACTTTTCATCCAGGGCTGGTGAAACGTCTAACAGTTGTTAAAGTCTATCCAGGTACTTGAGTAACAGTTTTATTTGTGTATTTCTTTATGTGGATCAGTGGATGTCTAACCTTCATCGACGTAGAATAAATCTTGCTTTTGTAAAAATTATAAAAAGTACCAGATTGGTCCCATAGAGGCTCACATAATGAATGAAAAAAAAATAAGAGAAAATGATAAGATTTAGGTTATTCTTATATGAATTAACGTTATATATCATACGCCAAAAAGCAGTTACTCAAGCAACTGGATATGATTTTGATCGAATTGAAAACGTCAGACGTTTCAGCTAGTATCCACTAGCTTTCGTCAGTGACTCACTGTTTTTGGCGTATCGTATTACCTGGATGTCTAATCTTCATCGACGTTATATATTATATGTACTTAAATAATTTGCAAGTATATGTATCTAGCAGACATGACGATAAGCAGTCAACTAGGAATTGTCGGTTGCTTGGAACTTGATGGCTGATATATTATGCGGACTTTGTTCTATAGGTTTTTGATATAAGGCCACACCAAGTAAATTTTATGGATGACGTCCGCGCGCGCATTGATTTTGGCCTGTTCCTAGAAAAAAAAAAGAAATTCCGCTTCCTGTAACTATGACCAAAGAGTCACGACAGTGCCGCAAATAGATTTGTACGGACCAAAGATTATGAAGCATCAAGCAAGGAAATCATGACTTCCTTTAGGAATTCAGTTTGGTACATGCTGCCACATTTGAAGAAACTTGCTGACCGCTCCATCTATCTCCCCAAAGCACAGGACGACAACTGTTGTTCCACCTGATTTATTGCTGTTTTGATGATTAATAAAAGACTTCTTGCTTGTTACACTGTGTCACCTCATTCAATTTGTGTCCTAACATTTGTCGTCTCTTAGTATATTTCTAATCTAGGCATCTTGTTTTTTAGGGTCCTTCTTTTTTTATCGCCCTCTCGCATTAGATTTAGGGTCTCCAAGGGACGTCATCCATAAAATTTACTTGGTGTGGCCTAATACCGGATCCCGACCTCCTACAATGTAGCTAGTGTATGCATAATGCGTTGAACAGCTAGTTGAGAAGCTAGTGGGGGTACTTACCGAAGTACGTCGAGGATGACATAACTGACAGTCCAAAAAGCAGCTCGCATACTTTGGGTGCAAAGGCGAAAAGTCCCATGTATGCCATGGCGTCGATTGACACTGAAACAACAACAACATACAACATTGTTCAGATCATACATATATTCTTTTATGATGTTGATATGTTCTATATTCTTGGCTTGACTTAAAATTTCATACAATTAACATCGTTATCTAACACGGGGAGAACATGATAAAAACCAATTTGCCGTGATGTTAATTGAAAGAAATAGGAATTAGAAAACTCCACTACTATTTTTTTTCAAATATTTAATTAAAATGGGAATTATCGCTTTCAAAAAGGAAATTATAAATATCAAGTTTCACAACAACAAAAAATGATTGTGTATTTCCGAGGACATAATGTCCTTGGTATTTCTAACCAAAATCAAACAAAGGAACAATCGAAAGTTTCAAAGGTCACCTCCAAGAGTGAGGAGAGAAAATGCGTAACTCTTCAGAAGATCCCTCAAAGATCTTAGTAGATCCTTCAAGGCTTCTACAGGCTTCCCCTTCAAGCCGACTCCTGCTTTGTCGTCTTCAGTCTTGACGATGTCTGCTTTTGTCGGCAGCTCCTCTTCCTCCTCTTCCTCCAACTCCTCGGAACCTAAACAAGAAGTGTTTTTAAAAAAGCTGACCTGGCTCCAAGATGGGAATTTCGGGTGCACGTGGCGTGAGCGTGTGATGACGATGTGTGACTAGACTAGTCACCACTAATGACTAGAAGGTAACATTTTCAAAGCAAATGCATAATGTTTACCTTCGCATATGGTCTGCTTTTTAATTCTTACCCAAACACATTCATATATATTGTGATAGGGGTCTAAATCCCTCCAGCTATAAAATTGCAACATGATGTAACCCAACACTAGTTACCATGGTGACAGACGTCAGGCCCAGGTCATTGACCTTATGTGTTTGGAGAAGAGGATACATGTACTTAGCAAAGACATTTTTTCTTCGGTAAACATATCTAATATGGACTTAACAGCATCAAAATATGTTGGTTTATCATTACAAGTTACTTTATCGGTATCAATTAAATATCAGACCAGTCAATAGTTTTCCTACATAAGAAATTATCCTTGTTAAAGGCAACAGTGATTATGTGTAAAACGCGAGTGAGTTTGGTGTTTGTTTCAACGTAACGAACCTGGCAGCTTGCGAGGAAATGCCAAAAGTGGAATGGCCACGAGAATGCCCAGGAACCCCAGCACAGGGAACCCCAACCACCAGTTACCAACCCACCGAGGGTCCCATGGAGTCAGGCCGGCCCTGGAGTGAATAAAATCAAGGTTGACAAATAAACCTGGTCGTGGGCAAGTCAAAGGTGACAACCCCGAAACGTGAACGAAATATTTCTGAACATGCTGTATACATGCCCTGACGTTTGTTTACGTTCGCGGGGCCTTGAATTTATTACCTACATATTACCCACAATGCATCATCCTGCACATGCGCTGTCTTAATTATGGAACAATATACGCGCGTGTAAATTGAGAGAGAAAGGCAGCATATCAAATACATTGTTATAGTGATTTCGAAGGACTTCAATGTTATGCTTTTATTATTATTATGCTCTCAAGTTAGAATACATCTTTTATGGATCTCATTGAATGTTGGGAGACGCGAGGCACTATGGGTAAAGCTAGATAAAAGAAACTTACGAGTATCCGTCCTCGCTCGGCCACTCCACATACAGGCTCAGAAGCTGGGCGATCACAAGGAACCCGATGCTCGGGCCCACACAGGCTACTGTGTACAGGACAGCTGGAAATACGGACAAAAAATACCATGCCTTCAAAAATCACGAATCATTCGCAACAGGTACTAGATATTTCTATTGATTTGATAAGAAGCTATTGGCAGTATTGAAAGGAAATGAGTGAATAAACAGAGGGATTGAGTGAATGAATAAATGAATGAATGAGTAAATAAAAGTAAATGCATTAAGATTACCCTCACATGGTCTAGCCCAACTAACTACTGCTCTGTTTATTCTTACTCAAACACATTCATATACATATATGGTGACCAGCCCCTGCAACTTGCTACATAATTCAATCCAACACTATAAGGTGTCTGCTACAGCACTAGTTACCATGGTGACAGCTGTCTGCTGGTCCACGTCATTGACCTTATGTGTTTGGAGAAGAGGAAGAAAATGCGCAAAAACAAGTGAATACAAGACAACTATGATCTATGAGACAAAGAAACAAAACGGTAGGGACATTAGTAACTAAGACATCTACGTACCAACATAGACGCCAGAAACCTTTTTCTTGACGTTCTCGTCCAGATAGGCGACCCCCACGGTAAACATGGGACCTCCACACAGGCACAGGAAGAACTGGGCTACCACGAACACGTACAGGTAGTTGCTAAGGTCGCTGTAGCTGTGAAGACATTCCAAAGAACTTTAACTACAGTATCAAGATGAAATTGAAACCCAAAAAAGGCGTTAATACGCTAAAAAATACCAAAAATACCGAATTGTTCATTGGTATCTAAAAGTATGTATTCCCTTTTCGGGGTGTATTTTATAATTACTAACTTTTGGCTGGATCCTCCACATTGTTCAGCTGAGCTGCCATTGGTCGAGGCTTGACAGAGGGTGTTGGGCATCAGAGATGACGTCATATTCATCATGAAACCTCCACCCGGTACTTTGTACGGTCCTGAAAAACAAGATTCAAACTAGGGGGACCAAACTTACGCCACTTATTCCTGACAGGATTAGCTATCTGTCACGAAAAAGTCAAGACCATAGCATGTTCAGGACAAAAGATACAAAAACCGGAAGTTCTGCTGCAGTACCAAGGTCATCCACCAGGAGGTCCATACTTGACCTTGACCTTTGTCTTGCCAAGACTTACCATCATACCAAATATCATCACAATCCATAAAGGCGTTCTAAAGTTATGCTGACTACAAAGTTGCGGAAACACACACAGACACACACACAGACAGACAGACACACACACAGACATACATACATACAGACAGACACGCCAAAAACAATACCTCCATTTTTCATGGAGGTAATTAGCTCTTCAATTGCCGGCTTTAAACCGAAGAAAAGTACTCCTACTCAAGTCTTGGGCAGTTAGTTTGGGCACGCTGGGAAAAAGTGTCGTAAAATTATAGACCCGTGCAAAAACGATGCATTATGGGAAGTCTGAAAAAGGTGAGAAGACAGCTGTCCGATACAAAGATCAAACGGGATGTGACAGCGAAACGCGTCAGCATCAATTTCTGTATGTTATCTTAGTCAAAGGTATTAACCAAGTGTTTTCATGAAACGTTAGAAATAGAGATTAATTTGCTAACAAATGTACGTTACCCAGAGTTTACCATTTTTCCCAGCATGCAAAGGAGTCCATAGTATGGCATATGTGACCTACGCCTTACATTCTATCTTACACCTGGTATTCAAAATGAGTAGAATTTTCAATCACTAGTCAATTTGATGATAGATGTGTACCTGTCCAGTAATGTGGTGATGCGAACAGAAAAGCGCCGATTCCGAACATCAGAACTCCAAGGCCAATCAGCTTGCCCTTGAAAAGCACAACATTGCAGAATGGCATTAGTTACAAAAATGCAGATATCGGACATTCTGCTGCAGTACTATGAAAAGCCGCAAGGAACCCATACTCACATATATCCTGTTTATTTTAAATACAGTCATTGTCTTTGTAATAAACACAGTATTTTCTTATACATTAGGCCATGTTGATTTGATTATATGGATGACATCCGCGCGCGCATGAATTTTCGGCCGTTTCAAAAAAAAAGTTT